CAGCAAGCAAAAATCAATTATCAAGTGTAAATATAGTTCAGAAATGGTTGCTGAAAATAATATACGATAAAAACTATAGATATCCCTCTGATGCCTTATACATAGAAGCAGCCATTTTTGACGCTAAACAATTATTTTGGTTTAATACATTATCTATAACATTCAGTAACAGAAGTAAAAATAATCTAATCCCACATTCATACCCACTACGTCGACTCGAATTAACTATTAATGTACCTCGGATGCATAAAACTATCGGACAAAAAAGTCATTTATATGTAGGACCTAAAATTTTTAATGTTTTACCTAAAGAAGTTGTTAATTGTCAAAACATTAATATTTTTAAAAAAAGATTAAAAGAATGGATACTTGGTAAAACAATAACCGAAATGCATACATTTATACTCAGCAAAATGTGAAATATTAAAAACCATTCACAATAAATATAATATTTGAAAAAAAAATAATGTAATCTTATATGCCTTAGAACTTGCAATCTACCTTATGTCAATATCTGACCGCTGTGTAATAACTTGTTTTTTTAGCGTGCTTAAGTGTTGGACAATGAAATATATTAATTTGATACATTTAGATATAGTTAAGAATTTAGTATAAAATATTGTAGTTATTGTTGTAGAAATAAAACTCCTCAGACAAGGTTCTACCTTAAGATGATATTATGTTTATTCACTATTTTGATAAGTCTTGTATATACTTTGTAATTGGATCAGTTTGAATAAACATTATTTATTATTATTATTATTATAAAAATGAAACAGTCTGTTGCATCGCTCACCAGGACATAGAAAATCCTTAGGAATACCTCATAGGAATATTTTACAAAAGAATTTATTTGAAACTTTTTAAAGAACAAAAATAATAAATAAATTAAAAAAATAATACTATCCTGATTCACCATCAAACAATCATCAAACATGCCACCTTCAAATTCAATGTTTTAGTGCCAAATTGACTTTATTGTTGCTTATTTTACCTTATACAGAGTGTCTAAAAAAGTATTTTAAATAATTACTAGCTTTAAACGGCAATAACTTATTTAATTTAAATGGAAAACCCTGTATAATTTATGAGAAGCAGATGCACAATTTAATGGTCTATCAAATTGTATTATACCATTTTTTACCTATCTCTTCAAGTTTTCGTAGAAAATGCTTATGAAAAATAAAATTATTATAATTTAGACCTCATTTATCAATATACCCATGGAATATTGACATTTTAGATTATTTTTAAAAATGCAACAAATTTTTAAAGAGTACAGATACTAATATTGTCGATATAGTTCGTTAATTTCATTAAAAAAACTGTTTAAATATTTTTTAAAGAAAACCAATAGTTAATATGATTCTAGTGTTCAAACTATATTAATTGATTGTTTGCGTTGATTAATAATAATTGCTCTAATGACTAAGAAACTGAATTTTGTATGTGTATTAGACACTGTGGCAAAAAGTATCACTTATTGAACGTTATTTATAACAGCACAGACGTTCATTTTCATAAGATATTATTATTATATTGATTTCTTATTCAATTCCACATTTATTTAGAACAATTTATTAACTAACACAATTTAATTAATTAATTAACATTTGGGTGGAAATAATGGTGGTATATTTTATTAATGGTATACTCTTTTATAAACATTTTAATAGTTTCCTTTTTGTATACAAATGGGGTAGTAATATTATCGTTTTTAGCACCTGTACATTTACCTTTTTTTACCTTTACATTTTGTACACATGTTATACGTACAAGGTAGCACACATCTAAAATGTCGATATTCCATGGGTATATTAATAAATGAGGTTTAAATTATAAGAAAATGCATTTTCTACGAAAAATTGAAGAGATAGATAACAAATGGTATAATACCATTTGATAGACAACTAAATTGTGCATCTGATTCTCCTAAAATATACATAGTGTTCCATTTCAATTAAACAAGTTATTGCCGTTTAAAGCTAGAAATTACTTAAAATAAATTTTTCGAGACTCTGTATGAGCTAGTATTATTTTTATTATTGCCACACAATAACTGATCAATAAATAAACTTCAGTAAATATTTAATAATAAAATCTTTGATACCGTTGGAGAAATGAAGCCTTAACATTTTTTCTGCAATTTCACAAAATTAAAAATATTTTAAAAACGGTAAAGTTTACGTGTGATCAAAAAACCTTAATCAAATTTACCTTTATTTTAATCGTAGAAACTAAAAATGTAATAATATACAGGGTGTTCCATTTAAAAAATAAAACTTTGATATTTTTTATTTATTTGGAACACTCTGTATCTTGCAAAAATATTTTTAAATTGTACCTCTAATAGTCCTTCAACGAACCCAAAACTTACAATTTGTAAAAATCTAATCGTCTGTATATAAAGTAAGTAAGTGGTGAACAACCCTGTAAGTATGTGGTGAACAACCCTGTATACACTTTAACCGGTTAGTACAGAAGTAAGATTAAAAGTAGATTTAATAGTTATTTACAGTACAAGTGTATTTATGAACATGATTACAACAACGAGTGTGAACGATTAGAAGCGTTCTAATCACACTAGTGATGGGCAAAACTGTTATTTTTAGATAACAGTTGAAACTGTTATAGTTATTTATAAAAAACAGCTTAAAATAACAGCTTAAAAATAACAGGTTTCTTTATTTTATTGCTAAATATCTGAAAGAATATGAGGCGGTCACCGCCAGGCGTATTAACGCAGTTGCAACAATGACGTGCTTGGTGGTAGTATTTCCAGGGTGTCATAACATTTCTAAATATCGATTGTTATCTAAAATACCTCTCTAAAAACGGGGGTTGTTTACAAATAAGCGCTGTTTACAAATTGCGATATAAAAAAGCCAAAATGCTGCCACTCGTCTATATCTATAAATTCCGATCTACCTACGCCCTACCCCTCGATCCGCGTAGATTCTGAATTGCGTAGCAGTGTACAGGGTGCATCTCACTCGACGGGCGAGAAGCTCTTCGTTATGATTTTACCATTTGCGGTCAAAAAATAGCAATATAAGAAAATGTGTAGTATATTCTTCATAAGTAAACCAACTACACACTAGAGTTCGAATTAATTTTACACTTAAACTAGCATGTACAGTTTGACAAATATAGGAAGAGACTTGGGGATAGCACCGGTCGCGCACACGATAGAGAGAGAACGCATTCGGCGGAAGAGAGATGCAGTTACGCTACGAAAAATCTGATTGAAGCAAATTTGTGGGATGTCCACTGCGCATCGGGGGGCGTCTCTTATTTTATATTTCTCACGTCTCTAGCTATACTTGTTAAGTTGTACCCGCGACTTCGTTCGCATCGAATTATTAATTTGTAATGGTGATGATAAAGCAAAGCAAGAATTTCCATTAACATACAAACTGGATAAAATTTTCTCACATTTGCCAAAAATATGCTTTAAACGTCGAGCAGTTTAAGCAGAATCGTGGTTAATCAATTACTCAACTTTTTGGAACACCCTGTATTATTTTTTAAAAAATTTCAAAATATGTAAAAAAACAAAATAAATTATGCGTGTCCAATCGTTTTCCCGAAAGACTAACCGTTTTTTAAATAATAAATATTGTAATATTTGAGGGGCGTTTTCACCCTCTTGGAATTTGAGATTCGAGAAACCCCTCCTTATCGCACCTCTACACCCCACAGTCAATCCGTTTACCAAAAATCAGCTTTAAACGTCAAGCAGTTTAAGCAGAATAGTGATTACTCAGTGGTCATATTTTATGAAACACCCTGTATATATTTTGTAAAAATCTCAAAATATGTAAAACAACAAAATAAAATATACGTGTTTAAGAGTTTTTTCGAAAAACTCACCAGTTTTTAAATAAAAAATATTCTAATATTTGAGGGTGGTTTCACCCCCTTAGAATTTGAGTTTCGAAAAATCCCTTCTTATCGCACCTCTACACCCTAAAGTCAATCCGTTTTCCAAAAATCAGCTTTTTACGTCAAGGGCTTTAAGCAGGATCGTGATTAATCAATGACCAGATTTTTCAAAACACCCTGTATACATTTTTAAAAAATCTTAAAATATTATTCTGAAAATTTTTCAGAATAAATAAATACTTAAATATTGAAACTTAATAACAAAGTATTGAAACATACAGCGCCATAATATCTCGACCTCCGCCCGTTATGCTCGTAACAGGTTGAAAAACAATATGTATCTAAAACAACTGATGCGTTATTCTCCAACCTGTTTCAAACCTCCGATTATCTCGAACGCCGTTCTGTTATGCTCGTAACAGGTAAAAAAACAACATAGCTAAAACAACTGATGCGTTATTCTCCAACCCGTTGCGAGCCTCCCTCGACAATCGACCGATGCAGCAGCGCTCCTTTCCCACTCCTGTTATCTCGACAGCCAGGCGTTATGCCCGCAACTGTTTCAAAAAAGCTGCTTCTTTTATATCCTATTATTTTTAAGCTGTTGTCAGCCCAACACGACGCGCCGCGCAGTAGCGCATACCCAATCCGTTGTCCGTTGTATCTCATCGCCTGTATCGATGGTTGTCGAAATAATAGGTTTTCCATCCATACTAGTTGTTTTTTGGAATTGCTTCGAGCAGCATCGAATTTCGTGGCGGTGCAGAGCGCCGACTTCGTTTCACGAACACTCGATCTCTGCGTGTCGTTATTTTATATCTGTTATTTTTTAAAAGCAGTAACGGTTGCGTTATGTTATTTCTAAATAATTGTTATAAAATAACAGATAGTTAAATAACAACCCATCACTAAATCACACGAATGTTGTAACCGAGGTTGTAACCATGTTTAAACGCACGTTCATTATTATAAAAACTAGTTGTGTTATAGATTCATAACACCACTAGTTGTGTTATGAATCTCATAACGTAACTGAAATACTAAAAAAATGGAGTGATGTAAAAACGTTATAATTAAACGGTTGTAGATAAATAAATAAAAACGGTGTTTCTTACCTTGGTCTGTCGTCCCCTGCCACCGTATCCGCCACCGTCGCTCTGGCCTCGCTGCAAAAGAAAAAAAACCGTCGAATTACCCTGTTATTTTGTTTCCCTCGCAAAAAGAAGCTCGAAAAAGCGCCAGCATGCATGTAAAAGCGAACGAGAGTCACAGTAAAGGAACGGGAACATTCAAAGCAGCTTTTTAAAATCTAATTATCGATGTACAAGGAGGTTGACTTTTCCGTTCCACGGCAGTGCGAAGAAAAAGTGGAGAGAACGGTATTGAATAGAATAAAGCGAGAGTCTAGGACGCTAGTTTTTTGCCGAGAGATTCGAGCTAAGTGAGCGAAAAAGAATGAAATAAGAACCTTTCTTTAAATTAAATCTCGTTTTTTGCCTTATTTCAGCGAGAATCAACCTCTTTTCCGCATCGACATAATTTTGTTTGGTTTTGTAAAATGAATTTGTATAGGATGGTGTGGTTTCAAATAAAGAATGTATAATAAAGAATGAAATAAATTTGGTCTATAATCACTAAAAACTTGTCTGGTAGTTCTTAACATTTTGAAAGGTTGAAAACAGTAAATAGCAATTATATTCACAAAATAGTGCTATGAAAGTGGAAGCTATGGAAAAGTGGAAGGAAAACTGTATTTGGGAAATACACATTAGGCTGAAGAACAGCAAAATGGTTGATATGAAGTCAAGACTCTAAAAACACTTCTTCATCAAGTCAACCGAAACGTTACAAACTGCCGTCGCCGAAATACAACGCTGGACAGTAAAATGGTGCCTTAAACTGAATGAAAATAAATACATGTATATCGATTTCACTAATAAACGAATCGAGTACAAGCGTCCTAAGTATATACAGGGTGAGTTTCCTAGGATGTTCTCTATGGGTATCTCGGAAACTACTGGAGATAGAGAGTCAGTTAAATGGGGAAAGAATTGCAGTTTTGTGGGGTCATAAATATGCACCTTTCAGATTTTCAAAAAAGTTCATGGCTTACTAGATATTTCGAAAAAAACAAATTTTGGCTATTTTAAAAATTGTCCCTAATTCCATTATAATTTATTTTAGACAAAAAGTTTTCAAATAAAAGTTGTAGATAATCACATCCCTAATGAGGTTGTGCTCTCCGATTTTTTCTAAAGCCTGTCATTTTTGACATATGACACAAACATATGTTTTTTTAAATGGAAACCATAGTTGGCCATGACGTCATAAATATCGTCATTTTTTAAGCTTTTCAGCGATATAAGCTATAATATGTTTCTTTCACAAAATTACTGAGTTATAGCCAATTCTTATCTTTCTTGACTAATTTCACTTAATTAGCCATAGAAACAAGTTCAATCGTCGTTGCTCTCACAAATGTGAAATTGTCACATCCAATCTTTGTAAATTAAAATAAACAAAAATTATAAATACGAGTTTTTCAAATGAATAAAAGCGTGTAGGACTATTGGTTCAACTTTTCTTGGCCATACAGTTTCGAGGATACGTTGACCGGTGAACGTTACTTACGTTTTTTACAGAACGGTTTTCAAGACATGTTAGAAAACTTAAATTTAGATACTCGCGTATTAATAGAGTGGTTCCAACATGACTTTCATTATGACACACCAAACCCCTCTCCCACATTGTAAGAAATGTTAAAAATTATTTCATTATCATAATTATGTAGACTCAGGAGGTGCAAGGGGTATTGAAGCGATACATATAGCCTAGCTTACCCAAAAGTCAACCTCACCTTCACGTGGTGCACCCTGTTTACACTAACGAGGCTCTGACGTCCGAGTATAGGCGGTATAACCTATATATATATATATATATATATATATATATATCCCTCGGACCCACCATCTTTCTGGGGAAGAGGAGTAGTGAACTGCTCCTAGCCGGCCGAGAACGTAGCACAAGGGAACTATCGTCGCGGTCCTCACTGTGCCATAGCCATCCCGTGCTACAGTTGCAGCCAAAACTGTGCGGCAGCGTAACCGTCACAGTTAAATCTTTTCACGCAGCTTACACACATCAATGATGGAACATTCTGAGTGGGACAAAATCATCGTCCGAGGTAAAATACCCCCTCAATCGGATCTCCGGGAGGGGTGCCTACTCGAGCGTATCATCGGAGAAACAAAAAACATCAATAGCCACGTTTGCGGCGTGGAACGTCCGCACTCTACTGGACAGGACAAACTCCAATCGACCAGAGAGAAGAACAGCACTGGTCTCACAGGAACTCCACCGGCTAAATATAGATGTTGCCGCTCTTAGCGAAACCCGCTTTGCGGATGAGGGTAGTCTCACTGAGGAGCATTACACCTTCTTTTGAAGGGTCACCCCGCAACACACAGGAGAATTCATGGCGTAGGCATTGCAATCAAGAACGAAATTGCAATCAAATTAACAGAAGTACCTATTGGTGTCTCCGAACGCCTTATGACCCTAAGGTATCCCATATCAGACAAAACTTACGTCAACATCATTAGTGCCTACGCTCCCACCCTAGACGCTAAAACTGAGGATAAGGATAAATTTTATCAAACTCTACAAAATGCTCTCCAACGAATTCCGAAGAACGAACGAATTATCTTGCTAGGTGACTTTAACGCCCGTGTCGGTAAACAACAGGAAATATGGCCTGACGTATTGGGAAAAAACATGGTATGGGGAAACGTAAATAGCAATGGTGAACGCTTATTAACAACATGCACAGGGTATAATCTTTTGCATCACCAATACGTGGTTCATGTTGAAGGACAAGTTTAAAGGTACCTGGAAACATCCCAGATCAGGCCACTGGCATCAATTGGACCAATGTAATCGTTCGAAGGACGCATCTAAAAGATGTTAGACTCACAAAGCCAGAATAGATGCCGAATGCGGCACTGACCACCGACTTTTAATTTCAAAATGAAAATCCAGTTAAAAACCCAAACATCCACACTGTAAAAAACAAAACAACATGACCAGATTGAACGTACGGGGGTCTAGAGAACAACAATACCGCCGACTTGCCCTCCGGGAAGCCATCAAAGAATCACTTCCACCGATAACTTCAATCTCAATATTGGAAGCTGAACAAGGCTGGACACAATTAAGGGATGCGATTCATAAAACCAGCGAAGCTGTTCTGGGAAAGTCCAACAAAAAGAAACAACAGACTGGTTTAACGAAAATCAACCTCATATACAGGCTTTGTTGGAACAAAAGCATAGAGCACATCAAGCAGTCACTGCAAATCCACACAACCCAAGGCTGGTAGACAACTTTAAAGCAGCCAACAACACGCTTCGGAGAAAACTACGCCAACTAAAGGATAACTGGTGGTCACAAAAAGCTAATCAGATTCAAGAGTACGCCACGCATCACGATTACCGTAAATTCTTCGAGGCTGTAAAAGAAGTATACGGCCCAACCAAGAAGACAAGCTGCCCAATCATGGCACAAAATGGCGAACTCCTAAAAGAGGAAGAGCAAATCAGAAACCGCTGGAAAGAGCATTACAGCCAAGAAAATAACCCCTATATAGAAGCACTAAACACAATACCTCAGTATAACAGCCTCGATGTATTAGATATCCCAATAACAGAACAGGAAATAAAGGTCTCCATAAAACAGCTTAAAAACAACAAATCAGCTGGCTGTGACGCGATTCCGGCGGAAATCTATAAGTGTGCAAGTAAAGAACTTATTGGACATCTTAAGGCTCTCTTCGATGTCATATGGGAAAGCGGAGAGGTGCCTCAGGACTTTTGCAATGCAAATATAGTGAATATATAAGAACAAAGGAAGTGCATCAGACTGCGGAAACTACTGGGGAATTTCACTCTTGGCTATCGGAGGAAAAATTCTTGCAAAAATTATGTCAAACCGCCTGCACTCACATATAGAAAAAATCCTTCCAGAATCGCAAACGGGTTTTCGCACTAACCGCGGCACTGCCGCGCCGATTCCATATTTTCCATCCGCCAACTACTGGAAAAAGTAAAAAAACAGCAGTCTAAACTTTATGTTGCATTCATCGACCTAACAAAAGCCTTCGACTCTGTGAACAGAGATGCACTTTGGGCAATTATGACAAAGTTCGGAGTACCCATCAAATTCCTTACAGTGTGTAAAAGCCTCCATAACAACAACAAGTCAAGAGTGTCACATCATGGATCGCTGAGCGATCCCTTCTTAACAAATACAGGAGTTAGGCAGGGATGTGTCTTCGCGCCTCTCCTATTCAACATATTCATGGCAGCGCTCTCCATTATAGTGGACAGCAAACTGCAGGAGAGAGGATTGGGCATTAGATACAGATACGACGGCGCTCTGTCAACATAAAAAGACTCAGGGCAAAAACACGTACAAAATTCATCACAGAACTTCAATACGCTGACGATTGCGCTCTAGTTGCAAAAACTGTACAGCAATTACAAGAAATGTTGAACACATATACCTGGGCATACGAGGCTTTGGGCCTTAAGCTAAACATCGACAAAACTAAAATCATGTGCACTCCTCCGGAAGATCACAACAATGCTATAAAAATCGGAGAAGAGCTACTGGAATATGTAGCGGAATTCAATTATCTCGGCAGTTTGATTTCGGAAAAGGCCAATATCGACTCTGAAATTCAGCACAGGATTAGCAGCGCTTCAAGAGCATTCTGGAAATTAAAAGACAGGGTTTTTTACAACCATGACCTGAGCACAAAAACGAAACTTGCAGTGTACCGAGCAATAATAATCCCCACCATGTTATATGGGAGCGAAACCTGGGTGCCGTACCGCCGACACATGAACGCATTAAACAAGTTGCAACAGAGACACCTTAGACAACTCTTAAGAATTAAATGGTTCCATCACGTCTCAAACGTATCGGTTCTTGAAAAAGCTAACTGCGAGAGTATTGAAGTCATGGTTACAAAATCCCGATTAAGATGGGCTGGTCACGTATGCAGAATGCAAGAAAACCGCATACCAAAATCACTGCTTTACGGTGAGCTTGTAGACGGTAAGAGGAGGCCAGGTGGACAACTCAAAAGGTACAAGGACATTTTCCA